GTGTTGAAGACGTTGGGGTGCGGCGCATGGGGAAGGGGGGAAGTTCTCACGGTCTGCAGTTTGAGGTCTATAAGTCAGACGCGCGGCGTGCGTTTGATTGTTCTTTGTGGCTTCGGGCGGCGTGCGATTCCCGCCTGTTGTCGTCCAAGGGAGGCAAACTGCTTGTACTAGCGTCTTTTGACAGCAGAGAGCGTGTTTGGCTAAACGGATTGCTACTGGCTCGGCTGTGGCTAGCACTCGTTTGCGTAGGCTTTTAGAGTAGTATGTTGGTGCATGGTATATGACCTGAAGGGCCTGTCTCGCGTGTGACTTTCATTCTCCATGCCACTGTACCGGCCTGACGATGGATGACCGAAAACGCTTGTTTGTCGAGACGGATTTTCAATCGTAAAATAGGAAATTTCGCAGGACTTCCTTTTTATTGTCATTTGTCTCAGTTGTTCCCGCTCGCGCCACGGACAAAGAAAATCAATTTAACCTTAACAAAGTGTGAGCTCCTTGCACGTAGGCATTATATTGACTTCTATTACTTGGCTTTGACCTCCATAGAGGCCATCATGTTTTACCAATTGTTAAATTGTGGTAGATCCTCCCGGACTTGCAGTGTGTCATGATCTGTGTGCACAACAATGACGAAACTCTAAAAGAAAGAAAATACTGACAGGCGGAGTGTATTCTGCACAGTGGGGATTGTTATGCTGTTCCAGCAAACAACAAGTGCTAACGTCCGTCAACGTGCGTCTTTTGACAAGTTCTAGCCGTATTGACGCGTAGAACTGTGATGGTAGGTGAGCATACGGGGTTAGTAACTATAATCGTGCGTCACCACGCCCGTGCTGCATCTCTCCAAGACCTTGAACGCATGTATCCTACGTGGTCTGACTGCAGGTTAGAGTAGGTCCAGAATTACTTGGTGACTTCATAATACGAGCATGCTGCTTTGCAGAAAGGCTCTTTTTGTGTCCAATGTAAATGCAATGTTAATTGGCGCAAACAAGCTTGTTCTGCTGTTGGAAATGGCTGTCTGCTCACGGCCTAGTGGATATCTCATGACACACCAACCCAAATATCCTACCAAACTGAGTAGGAAAAACCAAACTCAGCTGTTGGATCTACCAAGTAGACGCATGTTTCGTCCGACCCCGAACTCTATCGAAAAATCCTTCCGTCGGGTTTTGAAACGTTTCATGTGTGCATGAATGCGTTTGGTTGATAGCGCGTGCAATATATGCTCTGAATTAGTGCCTCCGCCAACGCCTCCAGCAGCTGATGGCCTCCCCAGCTAAAGCGGCTTGGCTATGTTCCATGTCGACCTGTAGGCACAATGAAATGAAATAGTGATTCCTTCCATTTCAGCTCTGATTGGTGACGCTATCGATGTAACCAACGTAGAGCGTGGGTTGTCTTGAGCCAAATGGGCGATTGATTGATTCACACGATTTATTGTATGATTTCATTTACACTGGTGTACTGATGATCGTATATTTGGTTAAGATGTCGACCCCTGAGCTTCTGTCTGGCTATCTGCTGAATACTCGACAGAAGTAATTATTTAAAAAAATGGTGCTCCAACTTGCAAGGTGCAAATTTTCGTCTGCAGATTATATGTCACACACAAGGGTAAACATGCAAAGGTCTCTGATTCCAGCATCCGTTGAAAGAATGTAGCAATCAGAGGGTCAGATACGAACTGAACTTATATTTCGTTATCAAGAATTCAGACGATCCATCCACTTACTTCTGTTTTGTAGATAGAGACAGGACATCCTGCCAGTCAGGCTTTAAATTACGTTTCTGTTATGACCTGGCACGGTGCTTAGAATGCACACGAAATGCATGTTTGCTCGACCGTTGTCCCAAACCCCAGCATGACAGAGAAGGAGAACACGATCGGCTGTGAAATAGTATGTTAAAAACCTGCAAGTCTTTTTCACCGAAAAGCTGTGTGTATTTATAGCATTCTGTTCAGGTTGGCTATGTTCTGTCCAATCCGATGAAAAAAAGCTCTAGAAGAGCCAGACAAATTCTTGATGGCATGGGCCAATTAGAGCTGTCGAGAGCACAGTAGTAACAACCAGGGTGGGACGCTGTCGGCCGCAAGTTCATGGCATGCAGCGTGAGAAATGCGAGCACGCGCTTTTCTAGGAGATCAACTCTTTATAGGATCGTAGGCGTTCCTAACGGTTTCACATCAACAACCTGTGAGCGTTAGCTTAATAACTACCTGAGGTACTGAGTCCTACTGTAGGCTCACGTTGTAACTCTTCAGAAGTAGGCCAAAATTTAAAGCTTCCCATATAAGGCAACGATAGACTAGCATCAATGCATATACAACTCAGGGGTCACGAATGAACGTGGGAATTCATGCTGACGTTTACTTTTGGCTGAAATATGTTTCCAAGCATAAATGAGTTTCAGCTACCTATTTAATGGCAGTATTGCAGATTTCAACACTTGAAACAAAGTATTAGCTGCACCGTGGTTTTTTAATTTTTAATTTTATTCCTATGTAGGATTATCAGTGTTTGTTGTAGTAGTTATTAAAGGAGATGCTCGGTACGCAGTTTAGAAACCGTAAGAAGTGAAAACGCGGATTGTATTGTGTTTCTAATTATCTAGATCCTGGCAGTTTTACAAACCAAGATTTGCGGCAACCTAAATGTTCTACAATGTGATAAAACAAAATATTTTTTGCCTATCTTCCTACGCATTATAATTGAATACGACTAAGCATCACAACGCTAAACCTAGCTTAAATAGCGATTTTTTTCCAGGAAGCGATGAACAAACGTGATTAGGAATATTTTTTAAAGCCAAACCACAGTATACCGCCATTTGCGTGGGGCTTCTTTCAAAGACTCGCTGTGTTCAGCCATTATCGCACATGATATAACCGGTGAGGTTTCTTGAAATGTTTAAGTCATTTTATTGAGGCAATAAGGCTTTCGCCCTTGAACTCCCTATTCATATCGAACAATCGCAAAATGTATAGCAAAAGTAGAATTAACGTCGCCGATATGTGTGAGCCAGTCGAAAACTGCCGCTACTGACACAATGTTCATTATATGTACAATAGTTTCTCAGTAAATAAGAATGGAGTTTGCATTTAAATATCATTACAGGTTCTAAAAGGACCACCTCATCAGGGAGTCCGTTCCACGCTCCAACGACCCTCTGCGAGAAAGCGTTCTGTCGGACGTCCGTATGGGTCAACTTCCTCTACAAATTAAAGTGATTACCCTGCAGATGGTTCGTCCGAGGCAATTCGAAGAACTCATCAAATTCTAGGGCGTACTCACGACCTCTGACAATGCGGTAGGGTTGAATGAGGTCACGGCGTAATTACGTATAATTGAGCGAAAAGAAATATAGTTCAGCCAGTCTGTCTTCACAGAGCAGAAGACGAAGATTCTTGACCATCTTCTTAGCCCTTGCCTACTATCGTTCCAGCTGCATATAAGCTATAGACGCCAGGCCTGGACGACATACTCCAAGTAGGACCGAACGAGTGCTCCCTAGGTTATTCTTAACAGTTTCTTG